AACTGTGTCACCTGGTGGGCTTTGGGTTTCAGAAGCCCACACCAGGCCCAGTGTCTCTCTCCTTCAGTCTGAAGATCACAATGTGTCTCTCAACTATGTCTTCAGTACAATGACGGTCATGCCTGATGCCATGATCCTGGAAATGATGATAATGAACTAAGCTCTGTTAGCAAGCCCCCAATTAAGTGCTTTCTCTTGTAAGAGTTGCCATGGTCATGCTGTCTCTTCATAGCAATAAGACAGTGACTAAGATAGCAACAGCAATAAAAAAAATGGAAAGGGGCTAGAGAGATGGACAGTGGTTTACAGGGAGAGAGATGGACAGTGGTTTATAGGTAGAGAGATGGACAGTGGTTTACAGGTAGAGAGATGAAGTGGTTTACAGATAGAGAGATGGACGGTGGTTTACAGGTAGAGAGATGGAGTGGTTTACAGGTAGAGAGATGGACAGTGGTTTACAGGTAGAGAGATGGAGTGGTTTACAGGTAGAGAGATGGACAGTGGTTTACAGGTAGAGAGATGAAGTGGTTTACAGATAGAGAGATGGACGGTGGTTTACAGGTAGAGAGATGGAGTGGTTTACAGGTAGAGAGATGGAGTGGTTTACAGGTAGAGAGATGGACAGTGGTTTACAGGTAGAGAGATGGAGTGGTTTACAGGTGGAGAGATGGACAGTGGTTTACAGGTAGAGATGGAGTGGTTTACAGGTAGAGAGATGGACAGTGGTTTACAGGTAGAGATGGAGTGGTTTACAGGTAGAGAGATGGAGTGGTTTACAGGTAGAGAGATGGAGTGGTTTACAGGTAGAGAGATGGAGTGGTTTACAGGTAGAGAGATGGACAGTGGTTTACAGGTAGAGATGGACAGTGGTTTACAGGGTAGAGATGGAGTGGTTTACAGGTAGAGAGATGGGAGTGGTTTACAGGTAGAGAAATGGACAGTGGTTTACAGGTAGAGAGATGGAGTGGTTTACAGATAGAGAGATGGAGTGATTTACAGGTAGAGAGATGGAGTGGTTTACAGGTAGAGATGGAGTGGTTTACAGGTAGAGAGATGGAGTGGTTTACAGGTAGAGAGATGGAGTGGTTTACAGGTAGAGATGGAGTGGTTTACAGGTAGAGAGATGGACAGCGGTTTACAGGCCAGAGAGATGGACAGTGGTTTACAGGGAGAGAGATGGACAGTGGTTTACAGGTAGAGAGATGGAGTGGTTTACAGGCAGAGAGATGGACAGTGGTTTACAGGTAGAGAGATGGACAGTGGTTTACAGGTAGAGATGGAGTGGTTTACAGGTAGAGATGGACAGTGGTTTACAGGTAGAGAGATGGACAGTGGTTTACAGGTAGAGAGATGGAGTGGTTTACAGGTAGAGAGATGGACAGTGGTTTACAGATAGAGAGATGGAGTGGTTTACAGGTAGAGAGATGGACAGTGGTTTACAGGTAGAGATGGACAGTGGTTTACAGGTAGAGAGATGGAGTGGTTTACAGGTAGAGAGATGGAGTGGTATGGAGTGGTTTACAGGTAGAGAGATGGACAGCGGTTTACAGGCCAGAGAGATGGACAGTGGTTTACAGGCAGAGAGATGGACAGTGGTTTACAGGCAGAGAGATGGACAGTGGTTTACAGGTAGAGATGGACAGTGGTTTACAGGTAGAGAGATGGACAGTGGTTTACAGGTAGAGAGATGGAGTGGTTTACAGGTAGAGAGATGGACAGTGGTTTACAGGTAGAGATGGACAGTGGTTTACAGGCAGAGAGATGGACAGTGGTTTACAGATAGAGAGATGGAGTGGTTTACAGGTAGAGATGGAGTGGTTTACAGGCAGAGAGATGGACAGTGGTTTACAGGCAGAGAGATGGACAGTGGTTTACAGGTAGAGATGGACAGTGGTTTACAGGTAGAGAGATGGACAGTGGTTTACAGGTAGAGATGGACAGTGGTTTACAGGTAGAGAGATGGAGTGGTTTACAGGTGGAGAGATGGACAGTGGTTTACAGGTAGAGATGGAGTGGTTTACAGGTAGAGAGATGGAGTGGTTTACAGGTAGAGAGATGGAGTGGTTTACAGGTAGAGATGGACAGTGGTTTACAGGTAGAGATGGACAGTGGTTTACAGGTAGAGAGATGGAGTGGTTTACAGGTAGAGAGATGGAGTGGTTTACAGGTAGAGAGATGGACAGCGGTTTACAGGCCAGAGAGATGGACAGTGGTTTACAGGCAGAGAGATGGACAGTGGTTTACAGGCAGAGAGATGGACAGTGGTTTACAGGTAGAGATGGAGTGGTTTACAGGTAGAGAGATGGACAGTGGTTTACAGGTAGAGAGATGGAGTGGTTTACAGGTAGAGAGATGGACAGTGGTTTACAGGTAGAGATGGACAGTGGTTTACAGGCAGAGAGATGGACAGTGGTTTACAGATAGAGAGATGGAGTGGTTTACAGGTAGAGATGGAGTGGTTTACAGGCAGAGAGATGGACAGTGGTTTACAGGCAGAGAGATGGACAGTGGTTTACAGGTAGAGATGGACAGTGGTTTACAGGTAGAGAGATGGACAGTGGTTTACAGATAGAGAGATGGAGTGGTTTACAGGTAGAGAGATGGACAGTGGTTTACAGGTAGAGATGGACAGTGGTTTACAGGTAGAGAGATGGAGTGGTTTACAGGTGGAGAGATGGACAGTGGTTTACAGGTAGAGATGGAGTGGTTTACAGGTAGAGAGATGGAGTGGTTTACAGGTAGAGAGATGGAGTGGTTTACAGGTAGAGATGGACAGTGGTTTACAGGTAGAGATGGACAGTGGTTTACAGGTAGAGAGATGGAGTGGTTTACAGGTAGAGAGATGGAGTGGTATGGAGTGGTTTACAGGTAGAGAGATGGACAGCGGTTTACAGGCCAGAGAGATGGACAGTGGTTTACAGGCAGAGAGATGGACAGTGGTTTACAGGCAGAGAGATGGACAGTGGTTTACAGGTAGAGATGGACAGTGGTTTACAGGTAGAGAGATGGACAGTGGTTTACAGGTAGAGAGATGGAGTGGTTTACAGGTAGAGAGATGGACAGTGGTTTACAGGTAGAGATGGACAGTGGTTTACAGGCAGAGAGATGGACAGTGGTTTACAGATAGAGAGATGGAGTGGTTTACAGGTAGAGATGGAGTGGTTTACAGGCAGAGAGATGGACAGTGGTTTACAGGCAGAGAGATGGACAGTGGTTTACAGGTAGAGATGGACAGTGGTTTACAGGTAGAGAGATGGACAGTGGTTTACAGATAGAGAGATGGAGTGGTTTACAGGTAGAGAGATGGAGTGGTTTACAGGTAGAGATGGACAGTGGTTTACAGGTAGAGAGATGGAGTGGTTTACAGGTGGAGAGATGGACAGTGGTTTACAGGTAGAGATGGAGTGGTTTACAGGTAGAGAGATGGAGTGGTTTACAGGTAGAGAGATGGAGTGGTTTACAGGTAGAGAGATGGACAGTGGTTTACAGGTAGAGATGGACAGTGGTTTACAGGGTAGAGATGGAGTGGTTTACAGGTAGAGAGATGGGAGTGGTTTACAGGTAGAGAAATGGACAGTGGTTTACAGGTAGAGAGATGGAGTGGTTTACAGATAGAGAGATGGAGTGATTTACAGGTAGAGAGATGGAGTGGTTTACAGGTAGAGATGGAGTGGTTTACAGGTAGAGAGATGGAGTGGTTTACAGGTAGAGAGATGGAGTGGTTTACAGGTAGAGATGGAGTGGTTTACAGGTAGAGAGATGGACAGCAGTTTACAGGCCAGAGAGATGGACAGTGGTTTACAGGGAGAGAGATGGAGTGGTTTACAGGTAGAGAGATGGACAGTGGTTTACAGGTAGAGAGATGGAGTGGTTTACAGGCAGAGAGATGGACAGTGGTTTACAGGTAGAGAGATGGACAGTGGTTTACAGGTAGAGATGGAGTGGTTTACAGGTAGAGATGGACAGTGGTTTACAGGTAGAGAGATGGACAGTGGTTTACAGGTAGAGAGATGGAGTGGTTTACAGGTAGAGAGATGGACAGTGGTTTACAGATAGAGAGATGGAGTGGTTTACAGGTAGAGAGATGGACAGTGGTTTACAGGTAGAGATGGACAGTGGTTTACAGGTAGAGAGATGGAGTGGTTTACAGGTAGAGAGATGGAGTGGTATGGAGTGGTTTACAGGTAGAGAGATGGACAGCGGTTTACAGGCCAGAGAGATGGACAGTGGTTTACAGGCAGAGAGATGGACAGTGGTTTACAGATAGAGAGATGGAGTGGTTTACAGGTAGAGATGGAGTGGTTTACAGGCAGAGAGATGGACAGTGGTTTACAGGCAGAGAGATGGACAGTGGTTTACAGGTAGAGATGGACAGTGGTTTACAGGTAGAGAGATGGACAGTGGTTTACAGGTAGAGAGATGGAGTGGTTTACAGGTAGAGAGATGGACAGTGGTTTACAGGTAGAGATGGACAGTGGTTTACAGGTAGAGAGATGGACGGTGGTTTACAGGGAGAGAGATGGAGTGGTTTACAGGGAGAGAGATGGACAGTGGTTTACAGGTAGAGAGATGGACAGTGGTTTACAGGTAGAGAGATGGAGTGGTTTACAGGTAGAGAGATGGACAGTGGTTTACAGGTAGAGATGGACAGTGGTTTACAGGTAGAGAGATGAAGTGGTTTACAGGTAGAGAGATGGAGTGGTTTACAGGTAGAGATGGACAGTGGTTTACAGGCAGAGAGATGGACAGTGGTTTACAGGTAGAGAGATGGACAGTGGTTTACAGGTAGAGAGATGGAGTGGTTTACAGGTAGAGATGGACAGTGGTTTACAGGTAGAGATCGGCAGTGGTTTACAGGTAGAGAGATGGACAGTGGTTTACAGGTAGAGAGAAGGACAGTGGTTTACAGGGTAGAGATGGAGTGGTTTACAGGTAGAGAGAAGGACAGTGGTTTACAGGGTAGAGATGGAGTGGTTTACAGGTAGAGAGATGGACAGTGGTTTATAGTGCTTACTGATTTGCAGAGGACTCAGGTTCAGCTCCCAAGCACACATATGGGGGCTAACAATCACTGTAACTCCAGTTCCAGAAGATGTGATGCCTTCTTCTGTACACAGTCAGCACACACAAATACACATAAAGTAAATTTAAAAAACAAAAAGTGAGCAAGCCACAAACAGGCAGTCAGATGAGAAATCTAAGCTGATAAGCATATGAAAATATGCTACAGAATTAGAGAGATACAGACAGCACAGCATTTGCGTGTGTTGGCTGGCCTTTGTTGGGAAGCTGGCTGACGCTAAGACGTCAATCTTGCATCACTGAAGCATAGATGGCTATGAGAAGGATTAGGAGGTGCAGCCTTGTTGGGGTAGGTAGAAAGGAGGCTGGCTCTCCTGGGTGGAACTCAGTCCCTCGTGTGCATTGCCTCTGCGGAGCAATCCTTCCCTCCACAGGAAATCCCCACGCAGGCCCAGAAGGGAACACAGAGATGTTCACGGTGCACGTTTCTGTGGGGAGAAATAAGGACAATCAAGAGTCAGCCGTGGGATGGAGTGTTATATGGAAATCAGACACTCCGAATGAGATGTTTACAGTACGGTTGGATGTTGAAAACTGAGAAAATGTTACATGGCAAAATAAAATCACCAACAATACACATTTTACCAACAAAAACACATTCAAACATATGTCTATTACCATAATAAAACGGTTACCTTTGGAGGGAAGAGAATGAAGATGGGCTATGGGTAAAAGAAGTGAATGAATAAAGTAAGAAAATGAACTTGTGCCAATAATCATATGCAAAAAAAAAACAGAAAAAGAAGAATTCAAACCTCTTCAGCTTGGGCAAAGGAAAACAATCACAAGACAAGGGAAAGGATGCCATGTGCACAAAATCTTTTTTTGTGGGTGAGGGGACAAAATCTTAACAGTGTACAAATCAGCGCACAGCTGAGGGACGCATGAGACCAGGCAAAGTGAGACCCTGTATGTATGTACGGTTAGGAGAATCGGAGTTGGCCTGATGCTGAAGGCATTTGGCTGTGTGACTACCAAAGAACACATCTCCTTCCAGGTAGCTTGTGTAGGAGAAGGTTCGCTCACAGAGCAATCTGTAGCCCTCTCTGAAGAGGCCTGTGTTAGATGATCACATAGGACAGACTCCTAGCACCACACCAGAGGTGTCTGCTGTGTGGGTGGATGGCCAAGGAGACAGGAAGGTAACTTCTACGCTGGGACCAGGGCCCAGGCCTGCCGATCTCTAGTGGCTGCTTCTAGATTGTTTCCCATGTTGCACTGTTCTCTGCAGTGCGCTTGTGAAGCTCAACAATGAACAAATACAAAAAAATCCAAGTTCAAGTAGGAAGAGGTAGAGCACAGGTGCGGAAATCCCGTCTTCCCCTTCCTTCCAGCAACCAGAAACTTAGAAATAGCTATCCTTCCCGAAACAATACAGAAGCTAGAGACACTAGCACTGAAAACTGGGTCTCGTTTTTAAAAAGACACACGGGAGGACCAGGGGTTAGTTGACAAGGGGATGTCGACCCATGTTCCCCGGAATAGAAAGGACAAAAGCAGGTAATTGGATGACGGTGAACAAACCATTGTGCACACGTATGATAGTGTCGGATAGAAGCCCGCCGCTGTGCGTGATGCACACATGCTGAGAAGCATGCTCTGCCTTGTTCTTTGAGATGGGTCTCTCACAGAGTCTGACTGTCCTGGAACTCACTATGCAGACCAGGCTGGCCTCAAGCTTACAGAGATCCGCCTGCCTCTGCCTCCTGAGTGCTGGGATTAAAGGCGTGCGCCACCACCGCCCAGCTCAACAAGAACATTTTAAAGAGAGGACTAGAGAGGACTAGAGGGAACCGTACTGCAGTGATGGGCCACGGGGGTAGCGGTTCACAGGCCCAGCTTGTGGTTCAGCTTCAGAGTGCCTGTGGCCCACCCCTGCCACCGTGTCTGAGCTGTGTGAGCGCTCTGCAGGGGCTGCTGGGACCCAACGGACAGACGTGTTTGCCATCCAGCAAAGTGGACCCCTTGCCCTGGGCTGTGTCTGCACCTGGGGGTGGGGACTGATCCAATGGTCTGCAGAACACTCTCAAGCCCGACTCCAGGTAGCCTGGTGCCCTCAGGTGTTGGGAGAAGGAAGATGCTCTTTCAAATTGGTTCTCAAAATAAATCCCAAATAGATTTCTGGACAGCATGTGGTACATAAAGCACGAGAGGAAAAAAAAAAGAAAACAAACACAGAAAACCCAAACAAACAAAAAGAACACACACACACACACACAAAAAAAAACCAGGAGGCAGAATGGACAGACGCCATTCTGGACAGTGTCACATCCCGCATCCCAGCTGCTAGGCTTATTGGATACAGGCTAAGTGAAGTGATGCTGTGTCCATGGAGACAAAGGCAGAATTTACATTTTTATGTAAGGATTTGGAAAATCTGGAAGCAACACTGGACACTTGTTTAAAATGAACTACCTACCTGGAGTCTTGTTGATGACAGGGAGGAAGAATTGTATGTGTCAGGGAGGTCAAGGTCATCACAGGGAAACCCACAGAAACAACTAACCTGGGCTCCTAGGAGCTCGCAGACTCTGCACCAACAGCCAGGGAGCCTGTGTGAGACCGACCTAGGCCCTCTGCATACGAGTGACAGTTGTGTGGCTTGGTCTATTTGTGGGACTCTTAGCAGTCGGAGCGGGACCTGTCCCTAACGCTTGAGCTGGCTTTGGGGAATCTATTCTCCATACTGGGTTGCCTGGCCCAGCCTTAATAAAAAGGAGGCCCTTTGTTGACACCCATGAGAGGCCTGTCCCTATTCTGATGGAAACTGAGGAGGACAGGGTGGTGTGGAAGGGCAGCAGGGGGAGGGGTAAGGAACAGGAGGAGAGGAAGGAGGGGAAACTAAGGTCGGAATGTAAAAGGAATGGAAATGCTTAGCTAATATAAAGGAATGAGCAACCTCGATATAGAACTGTAAACAGTGCAGGAGCCAGCTAAGAAGTCAATAGAAGAGTTAACAATGGCGAAAGGAACCATTCAGCACATGTACCAGAGAGGCCCAAAGACCACAAGTGCAGGATGTGACGGTGACAGGCATGTCGCCCACCAGTCGGCAGGGCTGCTCAGCTGCTGCGGATCTGGCCCCTGCAGTCTCCGGGGTGCATGGGTGTATGCGTGAGGGGGTGCTTGGAGAGTCCACGCATCCGGGAGAAGAAGGCTCCAGGGCCTTCCCCGCCCCCCAGTAGTCTGGTTCAGATCCGAAGCTCCGCCCAATCTCGGTTCTGCGAAGCGCGCCTGTGCCCTCTAGTGGAAGGATTTGGAACTTCTCTGAGGTTCCGGATCAAGTCCCTGCTGGAGGATCTGGGTGGTCCTCAACTCGGGATGCTGGGCACACGCAGCTCAGCGAGGCGGGGACAGACCTGGAGGAGTGGACGATGATCAGCCTGGTGGGGGGTGGGATGCGGAGGTCGTCTCTGTCCTCTCTGTCCCTCTGTCTTCCCAGTCCCCTCCTTCTCAGCCCGCTCCTCGGGTTTTTCACCCTCCCAGGCCACAAAATGGCCAAGTTGTGTCACCAGGAGCTTCACTTACTGGTCTGGAAATTCGTTACTTCTAGAAAGATGCGGAGTGCGCACAAAGATTTATGAGGAAATAATGGAAGGCGGGGTGTGGAGGGGTCTGTAGTTAAAGTTTAAAATTGGTTCTAATGAAGGGCCCTAACAGTTACTAAACCAGGAGGAGGGGACCAGGAGGTCAGACTCACGAGTGTGTAGGTGCAGGCCTCTCCGGTGCCAGGCCCCTGGGTTCCTCCCAAACTCCGAAAAACCAGCCAACAAATCCCACCTCCAAATCATCGGCCTCTGTTGGACCTTCCAGATCCAGGAAAAGACAAAGGGGAGGAGACGCAAAAGAGGAAGGGGAGGAAAACCCTATTTTACAAGTACACACGCCGGGCGTTGGTGGCGCACGCCTTTGATCCCAGCACTCGGGAGGCAGCGGCAGGCGGATCTCTGTGAGTTTGAGGCCAGCCTGGTCTACAGAGTGTGTTTCAGGACAGGCTCCAAAGTTATGCAGAGAAACCTTGTCTCGAAAAAAAAAGTACACACACACACACACACACACACACACACACACACACACACACACACGATTTTAAAGGTATAAATGTGTTTGAAGGCCTTCACGGATTCTAGTCCTACAGTAGAATTCCGCCGTCTTTCTCTGCCCACAGGCCCCACAGGCCCCGTCCCCACAGGGCCCCATTCAGCTGCTCCCACAGTGGCTTTCTTGCTGATCCTCGGTGTCTCACACATGCCTCCTTCTCCCCCGTGACCGGCTGCAGGCCTTAGCTTGGGCGGTTCCCCTCCTGTAGAGCCTTCCTGGGCCAGCCCAGCTAGAGGCGGACCTTTTGCCTGCGCTTCCTAATCACCATTGTTTATTTCCAGCTTAATGTCTAAATATCTAGCATATTTATTAGATTTTTATTTTTATCTCAGTACTCTTTTTCTTAATTGGAGATGGGCTGTCACTCTGCAATCTAATCCTGCCTCAGCCTCCTGAGTGTTGGAACTATAGGTGTGACTGTAACTCCAGAGTTTTTGTCTTTCAGATTCTTGTCAATATACAATCCCATCTTTTACAAGTAGGGCCTTTTTCCTTCTCTTAATGCAAATGAGCTTTAAAAGACTACGGCGTGGTGGTGATCGAGGTGAGCGTTCCTTGCTGGTGGCCATGTATTTAGAAATAGTCTGAGTGCTTCGTGGCTTTAGTAAGATTCGCGCTTTTCACTCCTGGTAGACATTCTCTGCTGCATCTCGGAAGCAAGCACAGGGATTAGTTTAGTAATCTCAGATGCCACACACCAAATATACATGCTTGCCTGTGTCCCCTACCTGTGCACACCCTCTCTGAGCAAAACACGCAGCAACGCAGCCCAGGACCCCACCTGCAAGCTGCTCACACTTCTCCCTGAACAAAGGAATACCTTTCTTCTCCCCTTGGCCACTACCAACTTAAGCAGATTCTATCTAAATTCTACTCCCCTTATGTCCAGGAAGAGACCAGAAGGCCAGTCTGTCTTGAGCTGATTTGGGATACACACACAGTAAAGCAAAACCAAACTTTTAGGGAGAGTCCCCTATTGGTCTATATGCCTATGTATAATGTGGGTGTGCACATGATTCAAAGATGCTGTAGGGAAGGAACATGAGCAGTAGAAAAATGATTATATGGCCTAATCTGTCAATCAAAGTAGAGAACCTCTCAAACTATACCCATTAGTAGCCAGCCCTTCCTTCCTTTATAACCATAAGAAGAGAAGCCAGGCAGTAACCTGGGGCCCTTGGCTATCTCCATTTCCATGGCTGGCTGTCAATCTTGAAAAACCTATTCCTTTCTATCCTATACTATTACTTTACTTTGCATGAAGTATTCTTGCTACTTTTCAACCTGTGTGTGCCATTATTTTGTTTATTCAAGAACATGGAAACACTTGGACCACACCCCCAAAGGACAATTAAAATCTGAAATATACTATGTATAGATTTGTCTTCAAAATATTGTGCTGAATGAAATCAGCCAAAGATGAATATATACATAATCTGAGACAGTATCTCACTATGTAGCTCTGGCTGTCCTGGAACTCACTCTGTAGACCAGGCTGGCCTCAAACTCACAGACATCCACCTGCATCTGCCTCCCGAGTGCTGGGATTAAAGGAACAAATAATCTATGATAAACTTTCTGTGGTTAGTTTAAAGGGGGGAACGACAAAGGGTTGAGGAGAAAGAAATGGGAGCTAGTATTTAATGGATATGAAATTTCATTGGTTATGATGAAATTGTTAATTTTTTTTTTTTTTTTTTGCTTTTGAACAAGGCCTAACTAATATAGCCTTGGCTGGTCTTGAACTCATGATGTAGACTGCCTGCGCCTCGCAGCTGCTGTTAAAGTATCCACCACCATGCTGGGTCTGTTTATTTTTTCAGACAGAATCTCACTCTGTAACCCAGCATGGTCTCAGTTTACTGGGATTTCACATCTGAGCCATCACACTTTCTGGGAAATTTGATTTATGGCAAAGCCACCTTAGAAAATGGTGGGTGTTCAATGGATGACCCAGCAGTTATTACCCATTTGCAGAGAATCAAACTCTAGTGGATACAGGTCCAAATCCAAAACAAAAGACATTGATCCTTTAGAAGAAAGTGTAAGGAACAAGATATAGCATTTTAGGGATGGGAGCACAGTTTAGTGGTAGAATATTTGTCTGACATGTATGAGACCCTGTGGCAACAACACGTACATACACACACACAGCATACCACAGTCCCATTCACACATCACCCCCATACACATATGCACACTCTACCATTGCTGGTAGTTTTGGTCCCTCCAGGTCCTGCTGCTTCAGCTCCAAATGAACACACAGAGATGCTATATTACTTATAAAAGTGTTGGCCGATGGCTAGGGCTTCTTACTGGCTATCTCTCTCTTAATTATTAACCCATAGCTACAAATCTATGTATTTCTACATGGCCTTATCTTACCAGAGAATGCCTGGAGCATCCTGTCTTCCCAGTCTCTACATAGTGTCTCTTTGCACGCCCCCTCTAGCCTACCTTTCCCAGAATTCTCCTTGTCTCCTAGTTCTGCCTATCTTCCTGCCTCTATTGGTCAGACAGTGTTTTATTCATCGATCAATAAGAGAAATATATATACAGAAGGACATCCCCCAACACACCACACACCACACACACACACAGCACACAGCACACACACACACACACACACACACACACAGAGTATTTTGATCCAATTATTATAAAGGGAGAAAAATCAGAATATATTAACACAAAGATTTTTCTGTTTCAAAAGAGCCCATTTTTTTCCAGTTATACAGAGCCAGTGAGGTGGCTCAGTAGATAAAGGCACTTTACCTGCTGACCTGAGTTTGATCCTTGGGACCCACATGATAGAAGAGGAGAACTGAATCCCACAAATTGTCCTGTGACCTGAATGCACATGCACTGTGCCCACACAAGTAGATAGATAGATAGATAGATATTGTGTAAACAAAATGAGAACTTAAGGGTTCAAGACCAACCTGGATAACATAGCAGACCTTTTAAAAAAGCCTCACAATGAACACATCAAAATAAAGATGACTTCGTAAATGTCAATAAGAAAACAAGATCAGTGGACAGGAAGACAGGAAAAGAAGACAGCAGAATCAAAAGTGTGAATGAACAGATGTCTAAACTCCACGTCATGGTCGTCGGAGAAATTCACACTGAAACCATAGCAAAACAGCAGCCCACAGCATTCAGCTGGAAGAAGCTGAGACAGTCAGGGCTGCTGACACCATTTATCGCTTTGGAGAAAGGCAGGGAAGCAACTTGTAGCACAGAAACCCAGCCATGTCTCCCAAATATGCATCACAAGCCATCTGTGCATACTGTAGAAACCACACTCACACACATAGACATGCACACACACACACACACACACACACACACACACACACACACGAGCCTGATTTCTAATAAGGACAACTGAAGTTTTCCGCTTTTGTTTTTGCTTGTGTGACAGTCTCACTATGTTGTTGAGACAGACCTCAAATTCTTCATCCTCCCGAAGGGTGGGGTCTCAGGCATATGCCACCATGCCTGGTATGTTAAATACAGTTAGTTGACCATATGATACCCCTCTGCAACGAAAATGAATTTTTCTTATTTTAATCAACGTTAAGCAAGACTGCAAGGTGACTCAGGGTGGAGGCATTTGCTACTAAGTCTGGTGCCCTCGTGGTGGAGGGAGAGGGTCACCTTTCTCTGACCTCCACACACATGCTTTGATATGCACATGCCCCTCCCAAATTTTATAATAAATAAAATTTAGGAAAAAATAAGCAGTAAGCAAAAAATATATAGCAAAAAAATTATGTCCCGGACCATGTTCTAGGTTTCCTTATAAATATTAACTCATTTACTAAATGAACTGAGCTAGATTTAACAATGTGAATTAATCTCCCTAGCATCACAATGACCAAACAGCAAGCATAGACATGCTACCCATAAGTTCACCATGTATGTGAAGTAGGACCATGTTTGTAAGGGCTGCTAAAACTCTACTCCAGCCCAGCATGGTGGTTCAAGGCTTTGATCCCAGCAGAGGCAGGAAGATGGTGTGAGCTCCAGGTCAGCCAGGGCTATACAGTGAGACCCTGTCTGAAAAAGAAAAATCAAACAAGAAAACTGTATTCTAGCTGGGTGTGGTGTCAGGAGCCTATAATCCCAACTCTGGAGAGGGGGAGCAGGAATTTAAGATCAGCCTTAGCCCAAATCCCCATTCTGTAGTCAGGAATCCTCACTCAGGGTGGAGGCTAGGTTGCAGGGAAGGAGGGTCGTGTCCGTCCGTCCGTCCCCCCCCGCCTTAGCAGGAAGCTACAGCCCTGGTGCTGGCTGGTGGGTGGATTATTCCTTGGGCCTTAATATAGTTCTAAACTATCACAAGACACTTTTTCTTCCTTCCTTTTTTTCTAAAGAAAACCGCCCACTCTGCTCCCCCCCCCGCTTCTATTCTTATCATACATGCCTGTGATCACTCCATGTATACATATTTATGCACCATTTCTCTCACCCTGAAGTTCCCACATATACTTTAAAAGTCTTCAGAGTGTCCTAACAGCAGCTTGCTGTCCCAGTTGGGGATGGTCTGCGTACTCATCCACGCCTGCTTCTAATTGTTGCTTCTAATTTCTAAGTCAACCGTTCTCTCGTTTTTCGACGTCAAGGATAGCTATCTGTACAAAAAGCGTTGGCTCAATCTTTGGGTTCATTTTGATACATTTCCATGAGTAGAGCTATAGAATCAGAAGGT